GGATTGATATTGTAATGTAATTTATAACAGCTTAAGTTTTGGACAGAACTAGGATTAATAGTTATACGTTGGTGAATTGAATAGAAGATGATTACAAATGAATGATAGAAAAGAACACAAGTTGTACTACTTATGCATATTATATTGATCAATATATTACATTAGTTTTTCACGGTAAAATTAACTACTGTTCATATAAATATGACAGAATAACACGTAGATACGAATGTGTATGTAGATAAACACACAAAGTAAACGCATGTTTCTCCCATATAACTAATTAAGGTGTGTATTATATAGAAATAGAGATCAGTGAATGTGAAATCACGACATGACAATCTGTAATTCAGTGGTTCCTTTAATTATTGAAATTATTTTCCCCAGATACAAATCACTACATAAAATATAGTTTGTAATGTGACTAGTCCATATATTTTTGCAGTCTGCCTATCTACTGATTAAATTTCTAATGGACGGAGATATTCATCAAAGTCATTGCAAAAAAAAAAAAAACAAAGTGGTGTATACGGAAAGAAAAATGTTCAAGGATTTTATTAAACATCATGATCGTGTAGCGTGGTGTCAAGTCGCGATTAACTATGAACACCAATAAAAGAAGACTACGTGCCAGTTAATTAATAAAATCCCCGTAGGTCAATATCATAAGGCAGATGATGGCTGTAGTCGAGATATATTTGTTGGTGATCTCGTGGTATCGAATACTTAATAAACAAATACTTTCCTTGATTATCACTTGAAAAACAGAAATAGTTAGAAGATAATACAAAGAGTTGTAACCAAAAGATTTTTCGTGTAAACGACTACTTATTTACATTTCAAATAGCATGTGGTGGTCGGTGTTCGATATATTCCTTAAACTCCGTATACAGTTCGTCTCGGTAACCGTCACTAAATAACGTTCCAACGGTATATTAATCAGAAGGCAAAAACAAAGTGTTAGTTACGTTTATTATAGGACCACACACAGATATCCAAAATTACAGATGCGTTAAGCAAGCATGAATTAGTTGTGCCGAAAGGCAAACAGGCAAGCGAGCGATCGATCGAGTCATGAATATGAATAACATGGACATATATATACATAGTGAAATTAATGAATCACCGAGTCAATTAAGCGGTTAATAGTAAAGCTAGTAGCGTGAATAAATGCGTAAGCAGTAAGGCTTGCCGAGCATACATATTCATATAAGGATAACAATAATAAAGGTGCATACATTCGCAACAGTAATAAGGATACAATAAGTTATTATAGTGCAGGTGACTTTGTCCGTTTAATAAAGTTAATAAAAGGGCTTAACCGAATTAGGTGAGAGGAAACTCAATTGAATGTGAGTTGCTATAAACAATGTAACATTTAAGCACAAAATAAATAAATAATACTGTGTTATGATGATTGTTATCTACAGGAAGGAGTAAATATTTGTACATGTATATAATTAGTACTTGTCTCAGAAGGAATAAACTGAACGAGAGACCTGAGTCGAATAGTTTTTCATCCTTGTTATGTGATATCAAATTTTGAAATTTAACAAATATCACATGAGGACAAAATATAGTGAATAAATTTTATAGATAGTATGATGATTAGAAGTATAGAAATTATAGTATTGTCGTTTGTGCTACTTATATAGACATAAGTAGTATATGACGTGAGTACTAAACACAATATCTGGCAGCAGAGAGACAAGAAGATCGAACAATAAAGAATGAAAATAGAATGCAATTTGTATGAAAATGCAAGAACAAAGGGATTCTGAGTTATTTGAGACAATTGAGGTCATTTAGGATCAGGGGTATACTGTCGTTTAGGGTCTCAGGCTTATAACTGTATACTATTTTGAGATCATCAGCATGTAAGTGTGGTTCCCCAAATGTTATGGTGTAATATATATCGTTTAAATACATAAGAAATAAGAGTGGGTCTAATACGTTTCCCTGGATGACTCCACTAGTTATTGGTCTAGGTGATGAGAGACAGTCATTGTACTTCACAATCTGTTTACGTTCGGTTAAGAACAAAGCAAACCATGAGTACAGTGGGTCGCTTATTCCGAAGGACTTTAGTTTGACGAGAAGCCTTCTATGTGGGACCTTATCAAAGGCTTTTTTAAAGTCTAAGAATAGGACTGATACAAGGAGTCCGTTTTCTCCTTTCAGAGTTATATCATTCAGGTAGTCTACTAGGCATGTACCGCATGATCTTGGCCTAATGAATCCATGCTGGGAGGTCGAGATGAGATTATTAGTAAGTAGATGTGACTAAGCGAAGGTCCAAATAAAGACGTATTCACTACTTGTCTGGTTTCTTCTATCAATAGCACAACGGTTAACTGCAGGCACAAAAATCTCTCTTTAGATCTAGTGAAACAGGTAATTCTGATTGTATGCGGTACGCCTCAACAGTAACCGTATCCCTCAAACATAGTCGTCTGTTATACATCACTGATGTGATGACTAGCTAACTCGTCGACGCTGGCACAGAAGTTTGTGTTTTCCCAGCAAATCTAAACGACCGAATGCATGAAGCACTTTTCAACTTACGGGTGGCCAATTTAAAACCGATCGCTACAAATGCTGACCGGTATATTTATCATAACATGGGTTCACGCGAACCCATTTAATGGATCATCGTTGTTGCAGGTGTTTCCGTACCAACCATTATTATAGGCCTGCTACAACATCAAAATCTACTCATCTGCACGCATAAGCAGAGGTCAGTAGACGGAAATACTGAGCTATCTGTTTGTGTGAGTCAGGCTGTCCTTGTCATTATTATTACTATTATTGTTTAGGCCACATCGAAATCTCCGTTTTCCAAGTGCTGAACCACAAATTAAAGAAATACATAGACATCTTTTACACGAGCGGCAATGGATGGATAGTAGAAGTATATACGCAAATATGTCAACATATACATTCGATGAAGCCTAAGTGACCAGAGATGATGAGAATACTCAGAATTCATTGAGTAAGCAGTGATTACCTACAACAACAACGAAAACACAAACAAACAAACGATAAATTGATGCATTTCATCAGTTGTAAGACGCCAGAATCAGATTATATATCTGTATATCGAGTCATGAAATGATGGTTGAATATTTATTGACTTACCACTGAATACAATGATATCTCAATCTATGGATAATTTTGTATTGTTATATAAAGGAAGATTGTCGTCAACCACCCTATTCATTAGTTCGTTATTGATAGTGAACAAATCTTAAATTAATATGGTAATAATTACAAACACGAAAACTTCGATAAGAACAGCTGATGAATATTCAATGTAATTGCATGGTAAACTGATCAAAATCAAAACTACGCATAATCACGACACTTCAGTTGTTCAATTGTAGTTCAAAACAGATCAGTAGGATAATAATCGAATTCAACACTAATCTCAATCTGACTAATTGAATGAGATAAACTTTGCTGATCAACATCGATATCAGAGATTCTATGCAAGAAAACAGAAAACCGTATATTCTTTATCTAACAACCAGTATAGTAGACATCATCAAGTTATTGAATTTAGCGATCACATTGTAAACGGATGTTAGAAACATTGACAGATAAAGAATAACATAAATTAACAATAAGCCATTTATTTAATAGATATGATTTCGAATCAATATGATGGAAATTGTGGATCCTGTATACACAGATCTACACTTTTCAACAATATTCATCCTTCAATTGTGTATATGGTACGTTTGGATCTGTCAGGATATAAGGTGATGAATATGACAGAAAAACTGAGCATGACCTCCGTGTAAGTATGCTTGACACAAATAACCAAACATATGTTCGGCAAGACCATCCACGTCATCACGCAATACATGACTGGGTAAAGAGAGAACTCTGCTAATTACCGATTGACTAATATCAATCCAGTCATTTCACGAATCACGGAGAAGTTTGAAGTGAACAGTTTCTAAGATTATTTACTGAATCAAAAACATGTTTGTAAGCAACAATACGGTTTCTTAACAATTACGTCTTGGATAACCTGTTACTTTGAGTTCCTTGATCACCTGACGCAATCTTGTGTTATACTACAACATTGTAGGGCCAGTGAAATTCCACTGAGCCCTAGCCATTGAATATCGAACAAAATCATCAATCCTCGTCAATGTCAAGGACAACCAACGCACATCAGTTAATCGTTCGCCATGGACTGGCCGATGCGACAGTGGTCTTACCTTCGCTTGTATCTACTTTAACTAATATATTTCTGTAATAACGTCCTCTGTGTTGTACAGTCTTCAAAGCATCTATAGTACCTTGATACGTCGATGGGGTAATCTATGTAAGGTGCAGACCACGAAGTGTGACTTCGACGTTAGCAAGTTTGTCACACCACTGACGTCTAACTCGAGTAAGCCTCCAATCATTTCGACATAGATCATCCACGCTGGTGATCTACAACATAATGTGATCCTTCATTTTGACACATCTCAGACAATCTATAAAGCATACCATCGTATATAGTATTATCAACTGAGTTGGCTTATTCAGACACCTTTAATCATTTATGAATGAAGAGGATGATGATGTCGATGGGTGAGAGAAAGCAGTACAGTTGTCAACATCCAATCACACACTAGACAATTATTCAACTGTGACGGCTTGTGACAGTGACGCGTTATCATTATTTCAACAATCAAGAAAATCAACTATGTATTTCACTCATGTTTATTTCGGTTCAATTCAATATTATCAAAAATAAACAAATGTGTTCATTGTAATGATTTCAGTATAACAGACGAACAATCAGTTCTCGGAATTCTTCATGTAACCTGAAAACGAAATGAGAAAATGATAGACAATGATTAGATACAAATACAATTGTAGAAATGGATAATCGGACGACATATTGTGTCCTTGAAATGGGTTGATGATTAACTGATGTCTGTATTATATTTCAATTCACTAAACAAAGACTACTTACCGAAATCAGTGAATTGTGTCTTCATTCAATGAAGGAAAGGATTATAAATTTCATCACCATTGTTAGGCTCTTCCTCATGACCATCTTTCTTATCAATATTGATATTAATAATAATGTTATAATCATTATTATCACCACTTTCGATTCTCTTAACTTTGTTTTCATCCGATTTGTGGGTATTATCACCATGATTTCTTATCTTGACATATCGCGGTATTCCAACGTACTCTATACCCATTACATCGTGTTCTGACGTTTCACCAATGTTCTGTTTTTGAAGATGTGAACGATCTGAACGTGGGTTTGGTGAAAGAAAAATGACTGGTTAACTTACACTGATATTAAAAATAGGTATTCACGAGACGGAAACAGACAAGTCAGACTAAATCTTGATTTTCCTCCTCGTACACAATTTTCTCGACTTTTTTCGGCGAGACTCTAATTTATGGACGAGACAATCAGAAGCGTTTTAGAGATTTCAATGTTACGGCGCCAACTTCAGTGCTGAATGCTAACGTACGATGAGTTTACAAGGAATTTTGTACAAAACGTGATAATCGAACGGCTATTACAAATAAAACGCAAGACTATAATTTGTGGACGAACCAATCAGGTATAAGGTAACAGATCGCGGATGTTTACGTGAATGTCTTTTATCCATTTGGCTAAATATATTCCTGGCATTAAAGCTGACATCAGTTCGTGATGAAAATCCCATATATATAAATCCTGACTAAGGCAAATTATGACAATTATCGCGGACTGGATAATAAAAGCACCAGTAACACTGGCCTCCAGCCAGGTACTACAATATGCACGGATGTTTGTAGAGCGTACAGACTCCTACATAGGCTTGGGTACGTGCATCGTGTCGTTAGCCACAAGTAGCATTTTGTGTACTCAACAATCGAAGTGCACATGAACAATATTGAATCTATGTGGTCGAGACTGAAATAGTTTTTGAAACTATCATGGCTCCAGAAGCCGACCATTCTGTAGCCATATGGATGGTTTCCTCTACTACATGTACCACGATTTTAGAACCTCTGAACCTCCTTCTGACCTTGACAAGTTTTTGAACCACGTATAAGAAGAAGTGTGTCCATTTTATTTGCTTGGTTTTGTATAATAAATTTTAACCCTATACTTACTGTTTGCTGATTGAATATTATTCTCAAGGTTACTGAGATATCGTTCAAAGACCGTCCATAAATCAGAGTCTGGCACTTCTTCGTATTCAAATTCGTCTTTTTCGTCATCATGATCTGATTGCTTTTCTGTTGTCGATAATTGCAGGAATTCCTTTTCGCTTTCATCTTCTCCAAATGTGGCATTAGTGTTCTGTTGAACATCAGGTGAACTAGCTGAACGTGGATTTACAGAAAGAAAAATGACTGGTGAATTTACACTGATATTATGAATAGGGATTCACGAGACGGAAAGAGACAAGTCAGACTAACTTTGGTTTGCTTCCTCGTCATCATGATCTGATTGCTTTTCTGTTGTCGATAATTGCACGAATTCCTTTTCGCTTTCATCTTCTCCAAATGTGGCATTAGTGTTCTGTTGAACATCAGGTGAACTAGCTGAACGTGGATTTACAGAAAGAAAAATGACTGGTGAATTTACACTGATATTATGAATAGGGATTCACGAGACGGAAAGAGACAAGTCAGACTAACTTTGGTTTGCTTCCTCGTCATCATGTTCTGATTGCTTTTCTGTTGTCGATAATTGCAGAAATTCCTTCTCGCTTTCATCTTCTCCAAATGTGTCATTAGTGTTCTGTTGAACATCAGGCGAACTAGCTGAACGTGGATCTACAGAAAGAAAAATGACTGGTGAATTTACAGTGATATTATGAATAGAGATTCACGAGATGGAAAGAGACAATTCAAACTAACAAATGATGCTTCATTCCGAATACTGTAACAACAACACTCATAACCCATTGTCAATTTTCACCAAACAGTGTTCTCGTATTCTATATGCAGTAGTCCAAGCACATTGATGAGTTGATTTAGGATCAAACCATTTTATTCTCCAGTCAAATGAATTACTCAGCTAAATTTCCCTCAATCGTATTCATCAAGCACAAATGTGACTTATCCTAACAAATCACCATCTTAACAATATCAGTCTTACATATTATAGTATATATCTACGGAACATTCAGAACTTACGTTTATATGCGTGAATGAATGGAACGACCACTGTGAGGAATAACATGCTGAATACTATTGATAAACGCATTGTGTTTCACAAATGAAGTGAACTTGAAATGGAGTGGAATGGATAGTTGGTCAGATAAGAAACACTCCATCCTTATATACTGATACGCACCTATGAGATCTAATCAAATGTGTGAAACTAATTAGATGAACCCATTTGATTGATGTTCTCTTCTTCTGGTTCACTCAATAATTTCTTACTAAAAATGCAAATGGAATGTTCATATTGGAATGTGATTATTCGTATATTCTTTTGTACATCAATAACTACTACAACAAAGACAACAAATTCTACGACTACTAATGGTGCTTATAGTGATGCAACTGTTAGTTTACATGACTACATTCAATCGTTGACAAGGCTTCCGTGAGCATGCTCACCTCAGTTGAGATCGCGATATGTATGCCAATTAAATTTCACAATCCATTTAACATCATGGACTCGGTACCTGTCTAACCGTGGTTATTTCGCGATACAAACCATGAAACGCAACAATTCACACGATTTGATTTGGACTGTGAAATGGTATATCTCACCTAAATCATAGTTAGTGAGAATATACTATTATCGATGTATTCAGCTCTTACGAATTCGTTTTTTTAAACCACATTGACATGAGTCTACAAACTCTATTGACACAACAGTGAAACGTGCACAATCTTCCAAGTTGAAGACGACGAACGAACAGACTGTACATACATCGAAATTAACAGAAACTTAATGCTATTTAACTAAATCCATTGTCATTTGACACCCGTTAGTGAACAAAAACATTGCACTCAGATATGCTACCAATAAAAACAACTTCCATGGTGAGAGAATAAGCTACTTGAGTAGACGTTGAATGACAATCAAAGGAGCTCTGAAAAATCGGATAACTCGCTTTGCCGAGAACGTCACTGGACATTCACAGTATTGGAGAAACGCACTCGACAGGAGATGAAACTCACAGTCATATCGATGATATGGCAGAAACCAGACCACATATAGTCTATAATATATGAGAACGCAGGTGTGGACAACCAAATATATTTAAATACAAAATTAAAGAATGTTTTAATAAAGTGCGAAAACAATGCGCTAAGTCCGTCATTCGCGAATCCTTCATCAATTATTTCAAACTTCATTGCTTTTCATTGCCACCATATTCACTCTCTGTTCTCTTTCTCTTCGATCTTCACAACCTTCCTCTCTCCTGCATTACATTCCTAACTTTTGTTATATACTATCTATGTTGAAACAGGAATTTCCAGCAAGCGTAGAGAGACTATGACAAAACCTAATGAATTTCAATTCAAATCATTGAGATCCTATATTCCCACCTCAAAGCCAATATGAATTTGCTATTTTCAACTATTGTTGATATTAACTATACAAGTGAGAAAATTGATGAAAACACTATGAAGATCACATCATATATTTTAGTCGCCAAGTGATCAACAAACTACTAATTAGTTGAGTACAACAAAATCAGAGAGAATTCCACTCATAAGACCACTGATACTAATTATGCTGAAATTTCAAATTAGGCAGGTGTTGTTTAGCACTCATTTGAAAGAGACTATATAGCTGACAGTTCTCCGGTCATATTATCAAAGTGAGAAATTTTATCGTAATTATCTAATCTCAATAATTCACTACCAATTTTACCACTGAACACTACCTGGTAAATCAATTTAGTGGGTTGCCTTGATGTAAATTACGCCCACATTCGTAACTTTTCTGAACGTATTTTCATTGAAGCATCTGAAATGCGGAAATCGATAATATCCATTTCTTCATAACGACTTTCAATATGAGTCTAGAATCATTAATTTCAAGATAAATGTGAGACCTATCTGCGAATACAGCTCGTTCCTTCTACTCGTTCCGACAACTCGTTCTTACTTACATCAACTCAACATACTCCAGGTGGGACAAAGACAACTACATCTCCCTCGTGAAATTCCTAATACAAATCATATTTATCCTAAATTATGATTAATTTTCATTGAATTTCGCCCTGAAATCGGATTCTAATTAACTGATAATTGTATTGTATTACGATTAATTGATTGAAGTTTATCTTCCGTATTCAGTGAAGTGCTTCTTCTTTGGTTCAAAATAATCATTATGCCGCTTATCATCATTATTAGGCATTTCGTTAAAACTACCACTTTTACTTGTAATAATATGAATAATAATGTTCTGATAGTTATTATCAACATTGTCATCTTCATTCCCGTATTCACTTTTCTTAACGTTCACTCTTCCATCCAATTTGTCTACACGCATGACATTGATCACCACACAGTGATAAATCAATTGTGATATTCAGTTCTTTCAACTGTTCAACAGCTGCACAAGAACACACTGGACAACGAGTTCATCAAAGAACTCTTTGTTTTTGTACTTCAATTAAGCTTGATATTGGCGAATCCACCGGTCCCGATACAATGCATTCCAGGTTAGTAAATGAACTAGCTTACTTCATTACGAACACCTTAAGGATACATTTTAGTTTGTCCGTAACCTAGAGTCGATTATCAAAAGATCGGAAGAGCGTCATAGTAAGTCCTGTCTTCAAAACAGTTGCGAAACATAAAACTGAGAACTACCGACTCACTAGCATAACCAGCGTAGTTGTCGGAATTTCGGAAAGGATTATTCGGAAGGAGCTGTCTACGTTACTCGATATAAACTGGATCCTTTCGGAAATGCACCATGGTTTCCAAATAGGTTATTCTTGTCTCACTAACTTCTAAGTGGCTCATAAAACTGTTGTGCTGTTAAAGACTAAAACTTTCTACACGAACGACTGTTATATAAGTTGAAAAATTTTGGGGTTGCGGTAAATCGTTTGTTGTGGATAAACGGTTGTGCTGTTAACTTACATGGAAAACTGACCTGAATCAAAAATACGCATAATCACGACACTTCAGTTGTTCAATTGTAGTTCAAAACAGATCAGTAGGATAATAATCGAATTCAACACTAATCTCAATCTGACTAATTGAATGAGATAAACTTTGCTGATCAACATCGATATCAGAGATTCTATGCAAGAAAACAGAAAACCG